AGCAGAGAGGTATGGCAAGAAGCAAGAGAGGACACCATGCTGACACTGCTGGGGTGAATGAAGGCTGAAAGGGTAAAGACAGATTGCAGAATTGCATAGGAAGACCTGCTGCCAAACTAGAGAAAAGAAGACAAATCAATTTTCATAAAATGTGGCAAGACTTCTAGTTACCCAAACTCACCCTGATTGCTGCTGTTATTAGGTGCTGTGGAATCAGCCCTCATTTTATGGTGACCCCAAGTACAACAAAACAAAAACATTGCTCAGTCCCACTCCATCCCACAACCAGCTGCAGATCAGACCATCATGCTCCATACAGTTCCCATTGGTTAATTTTCAGAAGTAGTTCTTCAGTCTTTCTTCCTAGTCCATCTCTGTTAGCTCTGTTGAAACCTGTTCAGCACCACAGTAACACAAGCTACCACTGTGCATGATGTGTATTGGAAGGTGAGAATTCTGCCACTGAACCATCAGTAGCATATACGGTTAATTAGAGATGGGGAGTTACCCAGTTCAGTGTGTCTCTGGCACTAAATAAGGAAACGCTCAACTTATTCAGTCACAATTTAACAAAACAGAAAATAAATAGGAACAAAGTGCACAGCTCCAAGAACTCACAGAATTTCTTCCCTAAATTACCAAGGCCCTAGGAGATTATGTCAAACTAGTAAATAAATAATCACTGCTACTCTTCTGTCAGTTTCATATACTGTGGTGGCTTGCATGTTGTTGTGATGCTGGAAGCTCTGCCACCAATATTTCAAACACCAGCAGGGTCAACCATGGTGGACAGGTTTCAGTGGGGCTTCTAGATTAAGACAGACTAGGAAGAAGGACCTGGTGCTCCGTTCTAAAAACCTGACCTAGTGAAAACCATATGAATAGTAGCAGAGCACTGTCTGATATGGTGTCAGAAGTGAACCCACTCAGATTGGAAGGTACTTGAAATACAACTGGGGAATGGCTGCCTCCTCAAAGTAGAGTTGACCTTAATGACATGGATGGGGCAAAGACACAGCTGCACAAATCCATTAAAAATCAGAACATGGAATTACAAAGTGTGAACCCAAGAAAACTGGAACATTTCAGAAATGAAATGGAACACATAAATATCAATATCCTAGGCATTAGTGAACTGAAATGGACTGGTATTAGCAATTTTGAATAGGACAACATATGGTCTACTATGCTGGGAATGATACATTGAAGAGGGATAGTGTCCTAGTCGCCATCAAAAAGAATATTTCAAGATCTAACTTGAAGAACACATTGTCAGTGATAGAATAGTCATACGCTTACAAGGAAGACTAGTTAGTATGTTGTTGTTGTTAGGTACTGTCAAGTCATCTCTGACTCATAGCAACCCTATGTACAACAGAATGAAACACTGCCCGGTCCTGTGCCAGCCTCATAATCCTTGCTATACCTGAGCCCATCGTCGCAGCCACTGTGTCAATCCATCTTGTTGAGGGGCTTCCCCTTTTGTGTTGACCCTCCACTTTACTGAGCATGATATCCTTCTCAATTAGTATGACTATTGTTTGAATTTATGCACCAAACACTAAGCCAAAGATGAAGACATTGAAGATTTTTACCAATTTCTGCAGTCTGAAATAGTCAAACATTCAATCAAGATGCATTGATAATTACTGGTGATTGGAAGGAGAAAGTTGGAAACGAAGAAGGACCAATAGTTGAAAATATGATCTTGGTAATAGAAATGACATTGGAGATCCCATGATAGAATTTTGTAAGACCAAAGACTTATTCCTTGAAAATACCATTTTTCCACAACATAAATGGCTTCTATACAAGTGGCCTTCACCAGATGGAATAAGCAGGAAGCAAATCAAAGACATCTGTGGAAAGAGACAACGGAAAAGCTCAATATTAGAACAAGGCCAGGGGCCAACTGCAGAACAGACCATCAATTGTTCATATGCATGTTCAAGCTGAAGCTAAAGAAAATCAAAACATGCCTAAGTATGACCTTGAGTATATTCCACCTGTATTTAGAGACCATCTCAAAAATAAATTTGATGCATTGAAAAATAACAATCAAAGAGCAGCTGAGTTGTGGGATGGCACTAAAGACAACATACATAAATAAAGCAGAGGGTCATGAAAAAGAAAAGAGCAAAGTAGAGGTGAGAAGAGACTCTGGAACTTGCTCATGAGAGCAAAGGAAGAAATGATGTAGTGAAAGCGCTTAACAGAAGATTTCAAAGGGCGGATCGAGAAAGCAAAGTAAAGTATTATAATGAAATGTGCAAAGACCTGGAGTTAGAATACCACAAGGGAAGAACACATTCTGCATTTCTCAAATGGAAAGAACTGAAGGAAAAATTCAAGCCTTGAGTTGCAATATTGAAGGATTCTATCTGGTTGTGTAGTGCCTAAGCCACTTGACTCCTAACCAGAAAGTTGGCGGTTCAAACCCACCAGCCACTCCTCGGAAGGAAGACTGGGCAATCTATTTCTGTGAAGATTTACTGCCTTGGAAACCCAAAGGGGGATGTCAGTGAGTTTGATTTTTGGCTTTTGATGGGCAAAATGTTGAATGATACAGGAAGCATCAAAAGAAGATGGAAGAAATACGCAGAGTCACTGTACCAAAAAGAATTGGTTGATGATGTTCATTATAATACCTTGAAACCTGAAAACATGCTGAGTGAAATAAGTCAGGTACAAAAAGGCAAATGTTGTATGATATCATTTATGAAATAGCTAGAACTTCCCTACAGGGTTTCCAAGACTATAAATCTTTGTGGAAGCAGACTGCCACATCTTTCTCCCACAGAGCAGCTGGTAGGTATGAACCACTGACCCTCCTGTTAGCAGTCAAGCACTCAACCTTACGCCACCAGGGCTCCTTCCACAAAGATTACAGCCTTGGAAACCCTGTGGGGCTGACATAATCTGTCCTGTAGGACCACTATGAGTTGGAATCAACTCAATAGCAATGGGTTTGGTTTGGTTTGGTTTATGGTAACTTTTATGTTTATGCTTAACTTTTTCAGAAACCTCCTCTATGTTTTCCACAGCAGCTGCACCATTTTACATTCTCACCAGCAATGCATGAGGGTTCTAATTTTTCCACATCCTTGCCAACACTTGTTATTCTCTCCACTTTATTATTTATTTATTTTTATAATAACCATCCTAGTGAGTGTGAAGTGGCATCCCACTGTGGTTTCAGTATTCAATTTTAAATAAGGTAAAATATTGATGATTATAATAAGTAAAAAATCAAACCACAAAAGGAAGGTGGCCACATCTGCTATGTCTATAACATACTGAGGGCACTTCAGGTCTCCTTCCCAGCTCTTTCATCTAATTGCAGAAAATTGAGGGGAATGACATGCCTGTTTCTATGGAGACATCTGTGATGGCATACTCTGTTCCCAGAATCCAATAGGGCATGACCTTGCAGAGCTTGGAACCTGGCCTTTCTGCTCATACCAGTCGGTGGACTGCAGGTTGGGGCCACGCTGATCTCGACACCTTATGCCAGACTGAGAGCTGTCCAGAGGAGCCACCAAGGGTCTCATAGTCTACAAGGCAGGCTTGTTCTTTCCCTCTCACCTTCCTGATGCTACCCAAAAAGGAAGCCAGTGCATCTGAGAGGTGCAGCAAGATGCCTAATAGGGCACCCAACACATTGGTGAAGGGTCTGAATGCACTCCAGAGCGTTGCCAGTCGGGATGCCAAGGTCCCAGAACAGAAGCTGCACAGCAACCAGCAGTCCTTCAGCAAGTCTGCTCAAGTCACCAGCCACAGCTACCAAAAGATGGTGCAGGGTCGGAGAGGACAGTCCAGCAAGCCCAGCATCAAGGAGATGGCCCTGTCTCCTACCTTACATAAGACCTCATCATGTGTCAGTCCATATTGTTATTGTTGTTGTGTGCTGTTGAATCAATTCTGACTCATAGCAACCACGTGGCAGAGTAGAACTGCCCCCATAGGGCTTCCTAGGCTATAAGCTTTACAGGAGCAGATAACCAGGTCTCTCTCCCACGGAGCCACTGAGTGGGCCAGAACCTCCAACCTTTCAGTTAGTAGTCAAGCACTTAACCATTGCACCACCAGGGCTCTGTTGTCAGCCTATTGGGAAAAAAAAAAAAAAAAATGCTTTCAAAGCAATTCTGTCTCACGGGACCCTATAGGACAGAAGTAGAACTGCCCCACCAGGTTTCCAAGGATGTCAGTCTTTTCGGAAGCAGACTACCACATCAATCTCCTGAGTGGCTAGTGGGTTTGAAGTGCCGGCTCTTTGGTTTGCTAAGCCAAATGCTTTAACCACTGAGCCACCAGGGCTCCTTTTGTCAGCCCATAGAGCATCCCAAATAAATCTTGGGGAATCAATAGACATATAGTAGATAGTTCTACATGCAGTTCCAAGAATGGACTGGAATTAGTGGTGAAGACCCCTCCTGTTCTCATCATAGCTCCTATTTCCTGGAAACTGTGGCATCTCAGTTCCCCTGCTTTATGGGGTTCTCCTGGGAAATTAGATCCTTTGGGCCATTTTTCCCTTGGCAGACCTGTACCAGCTTTCTCTGGCTGGCCCTGACTCCCCAGCAAGGGTCTGGATCCTGAGCCCGGGGAAGAAGAGAACTTTTGCCCTGCAACTTCCTTCAGACTTGTCTAGAAAAGGACAGAGAAGCGGGGAGAAGAGGAAACAATACAGGTTAAATGCAGCCACCGTGCACCAAGGGAGACTCAGGAAGCCACCCTGGGCCCCCAAGGGCTTTCTGAGTGGACCTGTTGTCCTGGACTTAGTAGACAATTTCTAAAACAGCATCCACACTGCTTTCATTAAATGTCCCAGGACACTGGAAGAGGGGACAGATGCACATACCAGGACCTTCTAAACCTCCCCATGGGAGAGGGGCTCCCAAGCCATTTCTCTGAGTGACCGTCTTCTTTATTCCCTGCCAGGATGAAGCAAAGGATGTTCCCAATCTTATTGACACTAGCTTTACATCCCAAGCGCAGAAATTGCGAAAGGCGTTCCTCATGCGTCCTGGCTGCCCCCAGTTTAGCACCAAGTCCACATCCATGTCTCAGTATGGTAAGAGCCACCACGAGGGGGCCACAGCTGTGTGACAACTGACTCCTTCCCGTCCCTCCTGGCGCATGGCCCCTCAGCCTGCTGGCGTGCAGAGCAGTCGCAGCCTCTTCTATAGACTCACCCTGTGAGAGAAGCAGGAGTCAGAAGCAGCTGAGAGAGGAGCGGGAGGGAGAAGGGAAGAGAGAAGGGAGGGAAGAAGAGGGAGGAAGACAGCTTTCCCCTGCTGCTATTACTAGCATTACTATTACATGTCTCCCAGCCTTCTTGCCTTTTCCAGTGTCCCACTTGCCAAAGATTCAGTACAGTTGGGGCAAGAGGAGAAGGAGATGGCTGAAGGGTCTGGAAACTTCAAGAAAGATGTATATGAGGCCAAACCAGTTTCCATTATGCCAACTCTGACTCCTGGAGACCCCATGTGTGTCAGAGCAGAAGTGTGCTCCATTAAATATGCACCCAAAGCACAATTTAAAAAAAAGAAGAAGAAGAAAGAACTGTGCTCCATATGGCTTTTAATGGCTGAGGTTTCAGAAGGAGATAGCCAGGCCTTTCTTCTGAAGTACTCTGGGTGGACTCGAACCTCCAAGCTTTCAGTTAGCAGCCAAGTGTGTTCACAGCATGCACCAGTCTTAGTACCCGTCTTGTGTAGCCCCTCATTGTTCTGATAGAGAATACGAGGGTCAGAGATGGGCGAACAGGCCAGAGGCCACAAGAGAGCACATCAAGGAGCCAAGGCTTCCCTCTGCAATCCTGGCTCCCAGACCTGAGTTGTTGCCTTGCCCCACACACTATATCATCCTTGTTGTTGTCGTTAGGTGCTGCTGAGTTGATTTAGATTCACAGTCACCCCATGTGACAAGGTAGAACTGCCCCATTGGGTTTTCTTGGCAATAATCTTGATGGAAGCAGATTGATAGGTCTTTCTCCCACAGAGCTTCTGGATGGGTTCGAACCACCGACTTTGCAGTTAGCAGTCAAGTGCTTAATCATTTGTGCCATCAGGGTTCCTTATATCATCTGTACCTATTGCTGTCAAGTAGATTCTGACTCACAGTGACCCTATAGGACAGAGTAGAATGGCCCTAGACAGTTTTCAAAGCTATAATCTTTACAGAAGCAGACTGTCATATCTTTGTCCCACAGAGCTGCTGATGGATTCATTCCTACCAGTGACCTTTTGGTTAGCAGCTGAGCACTCAACCACTGTGCCAGCAGGGCTCCTCTATCTAGTGCCC